TTCTCTCAGATCCAAAACACTGTGTCGGAAAGCAAGGCTTTAACACAGGCAGTGTAACAGATATTAACCAGGTTTCTGTGTGTGACCCAAAAACAAGACAGCTCACAAATGCTGCTGTAACAACCATTACCCAAGTCTTGGAAAGCAATTTTTATCCATCCATATCATCTGGTGGCATATTGTAACCAAACCAATTCCATCTATAAGAGCACTAAGCTTCTTCCTGGCAAATAACACTAAGTTTTAAGTTTCTTTCAATAGCACACCATGACGAGACAATATCTGTGTCTTCTGCAGCAACATGGCAGCAAGTATCCTGTAACGTAATAACATATATTTCTTCCGCATGGGAAAAGAATGCTGTCGTATCAACCCATTCAGGCTCAATCACCCAGAAAAAGGAAGAAAAATTATTCATTGATGGCAATATTAGTAGTTCCGATATATGTCATCGTGCTGCAAAAGGAAGATTATCCATGTTTAAGATTCTGGGACAGCCCTGAGGCTGGCCAGGACTGAAGGTATGCTACATGCACCTACGCACATACACAAATACCACCCACGGAACTTAGTTTAAGAGAACCATTCTCACAATTTCTTTCAGGGCACAAAGAGTGCCTGAACCACTGATACTTTAGTTGCTTTGCTCTTGTAGTGGAATCCAAACCCCAGATTCAGGGGTTTACGCGTGCTTAAGAGAGATAGGTGTGGAAAGATAAGCCAGCAACCCGTCTCTGCCAAGCAGGAAGCTCTGCAGAGCACTGCGATAGGAAATGCCAAACACAGGCTGAACCTGAGCTTCCCACCTTTCCCTAGTACTTAAGAGCCAGCAGCAAGGTTGCAAGGAAGCATCTTGATCCTTGATCTGCAATGCAGAACCTGTGGATTTCTTCTCCATTGAAGCTGCTACAAAATTCAGTGACAGATTTGAGGGAGCTCACGGTTTGCAAAAGGCTAGTTACAGGGGGTGAGGACACGCCTCAGGATGTGCCAGAGCAGGAACCAACTCCCTCCTAAACCTGAGAAGATTCAAAACTACAACTCCTGCTTCTTTGCAGGGTGCCCTCACACTAATCTATGTATTACTGTGGACAAGAGCGGAAAGGGTTGACGCAGTCGCCATCTCTTCTGCTGGAACTGGGGCATTGTGGAGAAAAGAACAGAAGGTTGATAAGGTCAGAAGCAGAACACGGAGAAGGAGGATGTGCAAAAGGGGAGGTTCTCCTTCCAGCTGTGGGTCATATTTATCCAGGGGCCCTTCAGAAGTAAAATGCATCAACAACAGTGAAGATGAAACCCCAGGACTTCTCTATACTGATGCAAACAAGGATGAAAACTCGTTATTTATAGGCTCTGAATGGATTGTAGGCAAGAAAACACAGGCCCTGCCTCTGCTCCTTAAAACTACAGGAACTGATGACAGTAAAAATGCTTAATACATATTATTGTGATGGTGCAAAATTATTAGGAGTGCAAAGCCTAGTATTGTTTGGGGCTGTTATGTCTGTAGCTATTACAAATTTACATTGTTTATTTATCAGTTTTAATAAAGATCTTTTCAAAATACTGCAGATAATTTCATTAACAGGATAATTATGTCTTTAAAGGAGGATAGGCTTTTATTTTGGCAGCAAGAAAAATCCTTTCTTTGTTGTTTTAGCCCCTTCTAATAGTTCTTTTCCATCTCAAAGCGTGGGAAAAATCCCCAATGTGTCCTAAAGTCCAACATTAAAATAACTTCTCACAAAGGCTAATTCTGCGTTAGCTTCAGGTATCTTTAGAAAATGCCTTTCAAGAAGTAATTTTCACTGTAAGTAGATCCATTTTTATAGGACAGTTGGTTCTTTTCAGTTTGCAAAATATTCTTATTTGGTACATAAAGCTTAACCTGACATGCCTATTTCAAAACAGAAGACAGTCCATCAAAGGCATCCTTCTATCTCGTAACATTGAGAAAAACTAAAACAACACGAAGATGTTGTTGGCTATTGTCAAAAGGCGCAGGGCACAAAAGAAATGCCAAGTTGGCAAAAGAATATTGCAGCAGCCCTGCATGACCAGATACAACCGATAAAAGAATTAGACAGTGCTAGGGAAAATTTCATTTCCTGAGCAAAATTATGTTACTATAGTTGAAATAAATGAAATCATTTCAGTAAGGCAAATTAGTTATCTTACCTTCTGCAGCAGTAAAAATGGACAAACTCATTTGAGCGTCTTTCTGCAGCCAAATGAAAGAAAGAAACCTACATCCACTGACTCCTTTCTCTTGTGAAATACACTTGACCCACAAACCTCTCTGTCTTTTCTACCTTTTTTTTTTTTTTTTTTTTAATTTGTGTTTGCTGCATGGCTGGCCACATCCACCTATGTCATGTCTACAACAGTGATTTCCTTCCTCCTATGACTGAAGAAGTCTCCTTTGGATTCAGAGCAATGCAACACACACTGACAAGTGCATTAGGAGAATGTTCTAAGAGAAGGGGAAAAAAAGGAGGTCTGAGATACACACACCAAGTGCTCACCTTTTTTGCTCAACAACTGTAGAATTGGGTTGAATTCATAAATTGTATTTTACTGAGCAGAAAGACAGACAGACAATGTAAAGGTGCATGAGGATGGATAGCCAGATGGTAGAGGGAACTGAAGGTTTAAACAAGTACAGTAAAATTGGGTCAAACCCAACTGAGGCAAACGCTTCTGAATGGGAGGTTTGACTGAATAAATACGACGGGTCTTGCTCACTCAAGTCAGCAAAAGCTCAACTTACCCACAGAAAATAAAACCACATCTTCTAACACAGAGAAAAACACAAGATTTTTACTACAGCTAACTACATTGAATTGACAACAGTGACATTTTGGGGAAAAAAGCAACATAATATACTTCTGGTGGAATTTTTTTCAAGAAGTTCCTTCTGTTCATCAGTCAACTCTACTGTGAGTTCCAGTTTCAGAGCCGGACAAAACCAAGAAGCTTCCAGCAGAGTGCATGAATGACCTAGTATATCATTTCTGTCCATACTTCCCTTACAAACCTACACTTTCAGGATTTCTACAGGCCATCTGCTCTGAAAAATGAAGAGTTGAATCAAAATCTTGTCACAGAAAAGTCTCTTTTGAATAATGTTAAAATCATTTGAGTGTTTTTAAAAACTGTAGCATTGTGTAAATCATCAAAACGTCTCCCAAACACTGACCTTTCAGTCCTTGTAACCACCCCTGCGGGGTAGGTAAGTGCTATTATATTAATTCTACATGCAAGGAAAGAGAAAAACAACGTTGTTAAGTGACTTGCTGAGTCATATGCACAGCTGGGAGCAGCACAGTCCGGTAGTTCATAATAACCTCAAGTTGTACAGTGTTTTGCCACCTTCTTGTGTTAATACAACTAGCAAAATGGTTTCCATATGCTTAGGGGGCAATTTACAACCTCCTGTCAATTAATTAATATAAGTACTTTATAAAATCCTAAAATATATGTAAATAATACTGGTGATAAAAACAGTATGCAAAGCTAATCCTCAACTAAGGATGTATGATGTAAGAACCTTGACATTGGCCTGAAGCAGAAGAACAAACCCTTTACTGTGATATGAAAAATCAAAAAGCATATGCTGAACTAGTCAAGTGAACTATATATTTAAAATTAGTGGTAAAACTCTGGTAACAATTCTAAAAGCCTTTGCTAATACCCTACTAGCTTCCTTTTCAGTTAGTAGTTTTGACTGCCATTACCTCTGGGTGATGAGTCTAGGAACTGTTGTACTATTTTTTTAAACAATGTGCAGATGTTTTTTTAAAAAACAACAATCAATTAATCAATTTTTTTTATATTGGTTACTAACAGCATCCAGTAGGTATTTCTAGTACAGTGGACTGACAAATGTTGTTAACACAGCCTGTAATTGCACTATCTCAAAAATGACCGCAGGATGGAACACGCCTAATTGCAGTGTCCTGATAAACTGACTCAGGCTATGTTAGCACATGAAACAGGAACCGTCCACTTGCAAAATTAATAGAGGCTCTGTGTTAAAATACCAACAAAGTTTGTTCAGCAAATGAGAAGAAATTATTTTCATGCACTTATTGAACAAAAAGAAAAAAAAAAATGCTAAAAGACAATCCAAGAAGGAAATAAATGCATACATAAAAACGCTATTGACATGGCAGAGTTCAACTGACAGTCCTCTGGAGATTCTGAACCCAAATCCTTCCTGCATGGTATGGCTCAGTTTTAACATACTGCTGTCTCCCTATACTGATGACCTTGATGCAGCAACCTTCTGTTGAACAAAGCACTGACGCAGGTGCTTACTATTGTGACAACTTCACTGGGATTTAGGCCTCTGCTTAAAATTAAGCCAACACTTAAGTTCTGTGCTGGAGGGGATTTTAGCAGGAGGAAAATGTAGTCATCATGGGCTACTGAAACAGAATATTCATTGTGCAGAACACAGTAGAAATTTGCTTTGTGAGACTAGAATTTGAGTCCTGCACTCTGTGTACAGAACCCTCAATACACGTAGGCATGGAAGCATGAATTACAAGTCGAAGACCAAAGAAACGATCCAACTCTGAATCTCCTTGTTTTCATGCATTTAAGATTTCAAAACCAAAGCTAATGGTAATTAAAAAAAGCAGCCAAACAAATCCAAAGAAAATAAAGATGACCCATAGTCAATCATAGTTTTGGTGACAACACTGGGACAGCAGACATCTTGGCTCATATTGCATATAACAGATAAAAAGGTGAGCATCACCATCTTTTTATATGGATGTACTTAACATATCCTGTCAGTTACCTCTATGCATATGTGTCTACCTCATCCATACATTGCAGCTGGTTTGCAGATGGGGAGTTATCGCTGGGGAATGCCTTATCTTTTCACAGGAAGCTGCAGAAAGTATCTCCATTTTCTGATTCCCCCATCCTTTAGATTCATGTCTCATCCCACTGCTGACAGCTGTGTACTGCAACATCCAGGAGACCCTTACCTTCCTCCAGAGCTCCAGTCTGCTCAGAAGCTGGCGACGGAGGCGGGGAAGGAGGCAGGTTGGCTGACTCTTCGACTGCTAGAAATCAAACAGTGAAAATGAGATACAGCAATTAATTCCCAGGAGACCGATGCCTGATACGAGCTGCAGTTAGCCTGAGAGAATTATTCGATGACTTGTGCCTAGTGGGTTTTCAGATAGACCCTTTCAGAATACATGGATTTTTAAAGTTATAATAAAAGGATTTTTTTTTCAGATGGTATGAATTATTTTCAAAATTCTAGTCATAGAGTACGATACAAAAATCAAGTAAGAAATTATCTTTTAAACCAGTATTGCCACTTAGAAAACCTTCAGTCACCCAAGGCAACAACAATAAAGCATCTGAGCATGAGAGATTTTATAAATTAATGCTGACTATCAGAAACTGGCATCCAATCTCTTCAAGTTACCTTGAGTACATGAACAAAAAACATTCTGCACGCTTTTGTTTTTTTTTCCCTGCTGCTGAGTTCCAGGTTAATCACAGAATACATGCAAATATTGCTTGTCTAAATACAAAAGACATCAGCATAGGGAACTTATGTCAGCCATGACATAATAGTGATTCAGCTGAACAAGGCGCAGTGAAATCGTAGATGCACTTAGACCAGGTTTTTAGATTCATTCCCAGTCATGAGACCAGATACTGAAACCAGATGATGCTTTTTCAATTATTTCAATTCAAGTATGATGAAATCCTAAAGAAACTGCTTCTTAAATGAACTCAGCATAACCTCTGCATCTGATTTCATACCAATCACTTTGAGAAATTTTTCTTTAAAAACAGATCCACTCCTGGGGTTTAACCAACGCTTTAAAAAAAAAAAAAAAAAAAAAAGTAGTAACAAATCTATTTTAACAGATCTGTCTCATAAACAGCACCTCTCAACAGGCAGATCTCAATTTCCGATTCAGGGCTTCTTCCCAATCATAGCAAGGCCAGTTTCAAAGCCCCAGCAGAATTTGTCAGGCGTCCTCCTATTGATTTCCGTATCGTTTGGAAGAGACTCTTATATGACTTGTCCTTAAGATGTGCTGTCCAGGGATGGAGTATTTATATCTTTGTCACAATGCAATTCTACCCACACTTATTTAGCAGTCACTGACCACAGGAACTGTAACACCAGCAGTTGCTAACTGAAGACATACCTCTCAAAATACGTTTAAAATGTCTTATCTAACTAGATGAAACTGAATATCCATTTTGCCTCACCCAGGCCCCAGTGAAGCAACCTGTGCTTAAATATGTATGAAGTGTTTTGCAGAATTGGGGTCTTCCATGTAAAAATGAGTTTCTGTAAAGAAGGGAATTACCAATCAACACATCTCCCTGCTGCAGTTCAAAAATTAGTTCAATGAAGCAAAAGACTTTGGGAACCAAATTTCCAACAAACATTCTAAATTACTCATTGACTTTAATTCATTCCTAAGCAGGGTCCAGCCACTGTACCAAACAAAGCAGAGTGCCTGTGGGGAAAATACCACAAGGCATCATTTTGATTTGATCACAATGTACACGCACTCAGCAGAACTTATCCTGAGGCAGGCTTGCAAGACTTGCCCTACCTCAGGACAGAGTATGGCCTTTCTCTGGCCTTTGGTGTACATGTTTTGAGCTACTTGGAAGTTTTCTGGCAAGGAGAAAGCACTGTAGGTACAAATAGCTCTATACTTACTTTTTTTACAGATATATATACACACACACACACATATATACACATACTTGTATTTCAGAGAGACATTTCACAAAGGAGCCAGCAGGAGGATGGGGGCAAAGCATGGACCAGCGGCAGTGGTACCGTTCCCAGTTTGGACCACTGGCATTTGCTCCTGCCACGTGTAACTCCCTCTCCCACAATCTCCCCTCACCCTGCCCAGCTGCTAACCCCTCTCCCGCCTTCAACCCCGTGTGCCCCATTCCTCTCTGCTTCCTGTTGAGGTGCTCCTCCTCCATCTTTTTGAGTAGCTACCACCCAACCAGCAAAGCCTCACTTTCTTTTTATATGCCTCTCCTCTAATCTTTGCCTCTGCAGACATTAATCTTTCTCTCTCACGTTGTACATGGCTGAACACAAAGGGGCTCCGAGCACTGCTGGGTCCCACCAAACATGATGACAAAACCACTACCATCAATTACATTCACAGCTGCGCCGCCCAGGAGTCAGAGACCAGGTGGAGAACTGCTGTTAGAGCAAACAGTGAATGAGACAGTCACAGGGCTGTGAAGAGCTGGGCCAACAAGGATACCGCTATTATTACGTGGTTCCAGCATTTATCCAGTGGTGCTGCAGTTTACCCGTGACCATAACTTATGTGAATACACAGCTGTAACTGCTTTTTTTGGTAATATACATACGTATCACATTTGCAGACAGGAGGATACTTTGAACATTCTTTGGCTTGTTTTACCTAAAGGTAGTGGTCCAGGCTGATCTTTGTGCTGGGCTTCTTTTTCCTGTTCGCCTTTCAGGACTGCTACAGCTTCAGCTGTTACTACTTGTACTATCCTGGCAGACACTTCTTCTGTGGCAGCAGCAAAGTTAGAAAAAACAAAGAAAAGTATGCTAATGAGAACGATGTTTTCAAATCATAAAGATTAGCTTAAACAATAAAAAATGGAGGCTGACTTAATCCATTTTTAAAGGGTAATCTTTTTTCCTGAAATATAAGCAAATCATTAAAAATAAAATAGAAGGACCAGGTATTCTGAAGATCTTGGTGGAAAATGATGAGTATTTATAAAAACCAGGACCCCAGCCTTTACAGTAAGATGCACAAAGCATCATTATTAAATGTTCTTTCTGTTAGGGACAATGTGCAGCAACTGCAAAATTCTAAGATGATCATTTATTAAATGTCTAGAAATATTTTTTTGCAGGTACTGTTTTGCAAACAGGGGTAGAATGGCCAGCTGAGTAATGGGATTTCTTGACATTTAATATATGGAGTTAGCTGCATTCTTACATGCGCTTTGGATGATATTTCCTCCTCATCAGCACACAGTTAGTATGCATTAAAGGCACTTCCCAGACAGACATCTATGCTGATGAGGGACTTGAAAAAGAAGGGCCAAATAACATTTCTGTATGATTAAAATGTATGCTTTGTCCTCCTCATCCCTTTTAAGACTGCAACACAAAGCTTTATTTAAACAGTAGGTTTGAATACCATGCAGAGGGATTGCAGAGGATAACATTTGTTTGGTCGGATGGGCTCTCAGGCCCTGGTCTTGGACACAGGCTTGGCTCCCGGCCGCTCGCTCTTGCTATGCTCGGCGCAGGGAAGGGGGACTCGCTGAGGCACAGCATGCTTGACAGACCCGGGTGCCACAGGACCCCGTGCTTTGCTCTTCCCCACCGCCTCAACGTGTGGCATGACCGAGAGGGGCTGAGGAACCGGTTGCTCTGTGAGCGGAGGATGGTAGTGGGACCACTCAGGGAGTAAACACTTCCAAAATGAGAAATTGTATCTCATCTCTGCTCTAGAACCTCTCAAAGGTGCAGTAAAATGTCATCAGGCACACAACTGCCTGTGGAAGTAACCAGAGAGGTTTCCTGCCCTAAGGGCAGTTCAGGCACCTTTGATCTAGCAAATCAAGGACTTAAGGGTTGGTCCAGCAGAACCATCTACAAAGGAATTCTGAGAAAAAGCTTTCTTATCTGTGTATTAGCCCAGTCTCCCTTACTCATTAATCAACATATTCCTCCCTCTCATAGCCAAACTCAGTGGAAATAAACCCCTTCACTCTCCACCTATTTCTGAGTGCTGGCTGAGAGTTGTTTCAAACACAGGGTGCTGGGACCTGACACGGAGCTGAGCCCTCGGGAAGGCAACGAGCTGCACAGCCATGGGCCCACCTGCTGCACGGCGGGGCACACACCTGAAAACAGAGCAAGAATTTCAGTGCTGCTCCACCCCTCACCCAGAGACAGAGGTTTCTAATGGCAGACGGCAACACACCCTTCTCCTGCCAGGAGACACTCCCAGAGCCCCCATTAATCACCATCCCGAGGGCAGAAATAAAAGTGCTCTGCTCACCCACTACCGTGTCCTTCAGGCAAGGACCAGCTGGGAAGGGGAAGTATATTTAAATCAATGCCCTACATGTAACTTTACAGCAACCACCCTAACAAGGGACGCTGTCCGTTAGATTAATAATGATGACTTCTTCTCACAGTTAGTACTCTTACTAATTCCTTTGTACTTTTAATGTAAAGTTATTTCTCTTCCGTTTGTCCTTTAGAAAAGCTGATTTTTTTCTCCCAAAAAGCATAGATGTGAGTTACTTGACTTTCACAGTCGTGTTTGTCTAAAAACAAAGTGCTATGTTAATCTCTCTTTTGCACAAACTATGTAATGAGATATTAAAAAAACCCACCCACTGGCAAAGAACATTCATAATTGTTGGTATTTTTATCTTACAATTCACTTCCCTCCTGACTGGTCGCCAGGAGGGCAGTAACTGCAATAGTTTTATTAGCTGCAGCCAGTAGCAAGAGTAGACGGATGCATATGTTAGAACAACTACTAAGCAACAAAAAAAAATAAGCTGATTTAAAAAAACGTTAGCCCAAGAATACATGAGTATAAACTTGCCAAGGACAAATTCAGACTAGCAATCTGAAGATGCTGCTTTCCTACTGTTAGGGGTGTGAAGTTCTGGCAGCCTTCCACATAGCAGGAAACAACTCAAATGGTTTTGAGATGGAGCTCGATACATTTATGAAAGGGACTACATATGATATAGATGCCTGTATTAGCAGGAGACTGCGCGTGGCAGCTCTAGTTCTCTGTCCCTCTATTCCACAACGTGCCCCTAGTATGAGATGAAACTCCACTTTGTTGTTAAGCAGATCGAATCGAGCACCATAACCCCATAAATCAAGTCATGCATGTGGCTAGTCCTACGGACCAAAAAACAGGGATATTGATTTAAAGCACATCAACCTTCCCAGCTGCCTTTCAGGGGCCTGCACCTCATTCTGGGGCTTTTTGAATGTCTCCTGCTTCCACGCCTGCTGGATGCTGGGGGTGCTTCTCAGCACCTCTTAACTCCTTCCTCTGGTGAGAAACATGGAGCAGACACCTCCCAGACTGTCACATGGTGCTGCTGCTGCAGAGCAGTGGACTGGACACAAACGGTTCCTTGGAACCATTACAGGTCCTGACAATTCCCTGTGTTGTAAGGCACACGCAGACTGCAAAGCACAAGCAACATTGGAGAAAACTGGGAGAATGAACCTGCGGCTTGGCCTGTCCTCTTCCTGCAGAGACGTGGTGCCCTCTCCCATGCCATGCCATGCAGCTGGCGTGCTGCAGCACCTTGCACGGGTGGGACACACAGGGAGGAAACAAACTGCTCGTCCATAAAGCGTCCTTTGATACTTGGTATATCCCTGTTCAGATTCTTCTCTTTCAGAACAGGGAAGAGAATCACCCAACAGCTTTGGTGAGCACGGAGAATGGCACAGAGCTTCACAGAGTACCACAGCTCCAGAAGATCCCATGCCGATTGCCACCACCGCTTTACGCCTGGAGGATGTGATACATGATCCTTCTTTCAAAATTGCCAGGAATCTACTAATCACAATACTACTGACAAAAGTAACGTCATCAAGTCTGTACTGTTAGCTCAGATGAACAAATCAAGACTCAATTAGGAAGACTGTTAGGAGAATTAATTTTTTAAGCTTATTTTCACATGAAAATTTTAAGAAAAGGCTCCAATTAATTTTTCAGATATAGAACATGCAAACGTATACCAGATTTAGTACCCTAGAGCATATCCAAAGGAAACCCACTCGGTCACCTGCTCTCCATCACCCAAGCTACTGCAAGCTGCCTCCCAGCAAGGTAAGACGAATCCCTATTAAAAATGGTCTCCTTTGTTACAGAATTTATACTTGTTCACATCCAGCCTGGTTCTGGGGTGCAAATGGGCTCCCTAAGGCTGGAAGACAGTTCCCACCCTGTCAGCTCTCTTCCTGATTTAATTTGCTTGCGACAAAGATTAGGTACCACAGGGAGATATAGCTGGGGGTGAAAGGTTGCCTCCTGAAAAATGGAAATTTCAATTTCAGGCTAAGCAAAATAAGTAAATAAAAATACAAATGGCCTCTGGGGTTTGTTGGGGTATTTTTTGGTTTTGTTTGGCTGGTTTTTTTTAATCAAGAAAGGCTCACTTCTGAACACTCTGTTGATGGATATTTTGGGTGACACAGGAGGCACAGGCAGTTCGCCAGAAGAGCAATGCTTTTGCTATACATGACTGCTGCAAAAGGACAGACATTTTAGTACTAATGGACACTATAAATAGCAGATCCAATGGGTAAGTCAAATCCTCACAGGGCAGCTATTGAGACTCTTCATAGTTTCCTTATGGTTCACTTAAAGTTCAAGGAAGCCTAATGGTAAAGAACAAAAAAAGAAAAAGAAGAGTTAGCCAGCCTGGATGCCAGGCAAATTCTTCACAGCCTAAAAGCTCTGGATTCATTAGAGATAGTTTTGCTTGTAGAGATTTCTTTTCCCTCTCTTTAAGCAGGTAGACATTCTCTGACTCTACTTTGTGCCACAAAAATGGCACTAACAATTGACAAGTAACACCAAATATATGTTTCTTAAAGGCAACAAGGACCTTGGCTTCACATAAGACTCCAGCACAACGAAGAACAGTAACATCGCTTTCCTTTGCATTTTGCAGAGAGTAAAATGCTGCTCCTTTTTACCAAGATGTCAGCTGCTCATGATACAGGACACAGACTGTCTCCCAGTTTGATTTCAGGGAATGTGGTACCCAAAAGTACAGGTGGTCCTTGAATGTGATGTCCGTAACAGAGAGAAGACATTGTGAAAGATCCTCAGTGTGAGCTTTCAAAAGCCCCCTGACAACGAGCAGGCTGAAGCAAGAGGCCAGGAGCTAACAGACAGGGATGGTGATTCTGCTGCTCCCTTAGAAGCTGTCACTTCAGACCAAGTTCTGATGGGGCTGTCAGGTCATGTCTTCCCAGTTGCTACGAGTGCCACGGCTGCTCTCTGGCAGGAACAGAGGACTCTGCCCTGCTGAGAGGGCAGGCACCTGTCTTGGGCACTATGCTAATTTAAACCAAAGTTAAAAATCAAGTAAGCACTCTCTGCTCCTGGTTTTGGAAGTCAGCCCAATTCTTCTACAAGCCCCAGCCCCCAGCATACCAAATCAGGACATCTGGAATCTCCCTGCCCCACAGATAACTCAGGGACACAAACCCTTTCAGAGTACTGGGATGCACAGGGGACACTGGACCAGCTGCTGATGGTATAGGGAGCTGCAACCTTTCCTCTTTGCTGGGTTTAGAAGGCCTGGTGCCTCCAAGAGCTGCTGCCCTCCTCATAAGCACACCCTATGGCACAACAGCTGCCCAGTCCTCACCCCCAGCTTGCACTGGCATTGATGTTTAAACTGCAGTAAGTGTCATCCAGACACTCCTCCAGACACCTGAGAGAGCCCCCCTTCACTGACTCAACCAGGGGCTGTTAAGCGAGGTTAC